TGTTAAAAGTATACAAAATTTTATTAATTCTTCAACCATTTTTGAAAATTCCAGAATTTATTCTAAATGTAATATTGCCGTCTTCCTCCGCAACCCTTTCACTTCTAAAAATTTGCATAACTGTGTTAAACTACTATAAAGTAGTGCAACATTTGATTGCTAATAACTCTCATCAACACTTTTAGTGAATGCTACAAATTTAAAATAGAGTTTGTATACTTTTAACTTAGTTATTAACTAAATTTTATTAAAATTTATTAGAAGACACTCCGACAGTTCCCTTGTAAGTGATAAATAATAAATGTCTTAACTCTTTCTGGGTTCTTCTTCAGGTTTAATAAATTCAAAAAATAAGCTGGATCTTCCAGAATCATTCATAAATATAAATTCAAACAAAATTGAACATTAAGACGAAGAGTTCAAATAAAGCAAACTTATGCGCATGCGCTCCCCACGTCAACTTTAAATACAATGGAACACTAAATATCGTTGAAAATTTTTAGAAAGGTCTAAAAATATGTTTGATTTCCTGCATAAATGCAAAAAAGACATCTAAAATAGTACAGTAGAAGCCAGAGTTCTTCAGAGTAATCCTTAACACACACTCTCTCTCTCCTGTGGTGAGAATTTAAAAAAAAACCCTTTCTTAATGTGGATTCTCATGGCATACCCTATTAAAACGCAATCAAAAATGCAAAAAACTGCATCTAAAATAGTATAATAGAAGCAGAGTTCTTCATGGTAAGCCTTAATCCCGTCCCTCTCCCCTGCGGAGGGGGATTTCAAAAAATCCCTTCTTAGTGTACGTTCTCATGACATACCCTAACCGTGTACCAAATTTAAACTTTCAACTCCTAACCGTTTGGGCTCTGTGCTTATTATCATCATTATCACCCCATCTCAATTATATTATAAGATAATGTATATTATTTAATTTATTATTATTATTGTAGTATAAAACTGATATCAATATGCACAATGGTTTAAAGAAGATTATTTTATAGTCTAACACTAATAAATTTCTAAATTTCTTCTATATTTACACTTTTTGGCAATTTTTT